AATAAATTTAAATGAGGAAATCAAATTTGTTCATATGGTAAAAATACTGGTTTCACCAATCGCTAGTTGGTTCGGTAGTGATTGACGTTGTATTTGGTAGGAAAGACCACAGTTCGATCCCCGCAAATGCGATCAGGAAGGGGTGAATTGAACCAGATATTGGTGGTGAATACAAAATTTAAAATTACTTCACCAAAATCTATTATTTAAATAAAAAATATAAAGAATTGTTAAAATGATTTAAATTTATGAAGTATTTTATACAAGTTAAATTTAAGGAATTTCAAATGACACCAAAGAGTAAATAATTTGAAATTGCTCATTCACTCTTATAATGTAAATATATTTGTTTATTATTAATTTGTCAAATTTTGCAAGATGAACCTCATATTTTATGAAAATTTCAAATTCAATCCTAAAATTTTCAAAAAATTGAAAATAAATCCCTGATAATTTCCAAATTTTACAAATTAATCCCTTCAAATTTTCAAAAATTAAAAATTGGGATTTCTTTTTATATTTAAAATAACCATATTTTTCAAATTCTATACTAAACTAACCATATTTCAGTTGGACGACAAAAGGAGGCGTCAACCCTTATGGCGCATGCTTTGATTAGTTACACATAGGCGCCATTCAACATGACACATGCATATATATGTCGTCACTGCATGTGGCATGCATGCATCTGCTAGAAGCATGAGTCACTTTATATGGCTACTCCTTTTTTTTACATGCATGCGCCATTGCATGTGGCTACTCTATTTTTTTTACATGCATGCACAAATTGTGGTGGCGCATGCTCCTACATTTGCATGTTGTCGCCAACACCACTGACGCATGTGTGTAGAAATTTAATGCATGCGCCATAAGGGTTGACGCCTCCTCTTAAAACATAGTTAGTTTGGTAAATAAATTGAAAATATGGTTATTTCGGTATATAATTTGAAAAAGTTGGTTATTTAAAAAAAATTGCAAATTGGTCCCTATTTTTCATATTTTAAATTAGGCTAAAAAGTTTTAAAATTTAGAAAAATGACCCAAAAAATTTAACAATGAATCATTTTAATACTCCATCCAAACAAAAGAATTTAAAAATGAATGAATTTCAATTGAATCATTTAAATTGCTTAGAATTTTAAATTCCTTAAGAATTCTCAATTACCTCATCCAAACACACTCTAAGGTTATTTATATGGGTTATGGTCCCTATTTGTAGAATGATCGAAATACACAGTTTATCAAAATTCTCTCTTCATCCCAATCAACGGAGATTCAATAAACCCTAAGGAACTCTATAAATCAGAAGATCACATACCCACAAACTTTCAATGATTTCAATAATAAAATCAGATACGCTTTGCTTTTATTCTCTGATTAAATTATGATATGGGTTTAAGAGATGTGAGTCGATGACATACTTGACTCATAGGAATTAGTTTAGAGTTTCGTTCTTGATTTCTATATCCATAGAAGTCATAAGATTATGAACACATCAAAAAAATGGTATCAGAGCCACTCATATCTGATTCAATTTTAATTTGAGGTTTTTTTATATTAGGTTTTAAAATTGGGATCCTTTTGATAAACCTGTTTTTTTGTAAGGTTCATGTCTTTTATCGTAATTCATGATTTTAGAAATAAACTGATTAAAATGTATTTATAATTTTTAATCATGTTGTCATAAATATATTTTGTCAACCGAAATTGTAACTGTACATGAATCAATATGGTTAGAAATCAATTTCATGTTGTAACACATGCTACAAGGTAACATATTTTTTTTAAAATAGTGACATCAATAACATGAGTATCATAAATTTGTGTTAATATTCACATTAGGCTAGGTTGTTATATTTGTCGTAACGGTGTTTTATAATATATAATAATTATATTATTTATTATTATAATTAATAAAATGTGATTTAATGTCAATTTTTTTTGCCTTTTGTATAATTCGGAATTGCAGTGTTTTGGTGTGCTTTGCATAACAACGCAAACGTGAATTGGAATACGACCAGGTTGTGTTGGTTTGCATGGTCGTGTCCCTTAGTTGTTTTATCCATTAATTTTGGTACATTTATGTTCAATTTTGGCTACAGTTTGTATCCAATAAATAGTTTAACATTTTAAATGAGTTAATTAAAATGAAAAATCATCAAAGTGACCTATTTTACGGAGATTACTTATGAGAAATGTTAAATGATTTTTCTGTTTTGTGTGTATGTTTATCCATGCGAGTATCAATTGAGTCAAATGACAGTTGGTGTTTGGCCAAAATTCATACACGCCTATGATGGTAAGCATGTGATAATTATAAGGTCTTGTATATGAATAATAAATCAATCCAAAGAAGGGTTTATTATTTGAACAGTTTTTTTATCAATGTTTGATCATTCCAACAAGAGTACCACTAGTAATTAATATTAGTGTCAAACGACTCTATATTGATGGTGCACTATGTATCTTGATATCGGTTAGGTCATTATTTGAACAAATTGATGATATGGTTTTTATTTATAAGAGTATATTTAAAATGTTTAATTCTGTTCTATTTTCATGTACAATTGCTTTAATATCTGTTGATCTGAATTTGCTCCCGGTCCTTAATGAGGAAAATTTTAAGGACTAAAAAGTGAACATGGAAATTATTCTTGACTGCATGGATCTTGACCTTGCATTAAGAACGGAACAACTAGCTTCTACCAGATTGGACAACATACATTTGAATTGCTTCCTTAAAGTCACTTTTTGAGTTAAAATAAGTTTCCAACTCCTATTTATAATGAGCCATATCTTTCAATAACTTAAAAATGAGATACTTCTTCTTCCTTGGTTCATCACTCTCCTCACTATACATCCACTATCTAACTCCTCACTATCATATAAACTCTTATTCTCCTCTCCACTATCTCCTTTCCATTTTTTTTCTTCTTCTTTTTACTTGTTTCTTCATGGTTTCCATCATATTCAACAAGATTGTCTAAGTGTTCTTCAGAATAATCCACACTCATACCAGAATCACTAAATGTAACTTCCAAATAACTATCATAATTGTAACTCTCATCCTCACTGTCATCAGAGCTTGTAATCTTATTCAACAAACCAACATTAGTATCTATAACATCATGAATCTCACCATCATTGTTCACACTCTCACCTACATTCATACCCTCAACACCATCATTGTTCACACTCTCACTTACATTCATACCCTTAACACCATTATTGTTCACATCCTCACTTATATTCATACCCTTAACACCATTATTGTTCACACCCTCGCCTATATTCATAACCTCAACACCATTATTATTCACACCCTCACCATCAGTACCTACATTCGTATCCTTTATGACTTCTTGATAAAGATCTTCAAGGATGGATTCTACCTCTAGATTAACCATATTTAATGGTTCTTCATCTACAACTTCTTCCTCCATCATGTTTATAGGATTTTCAACATATTCTGGTTGAGATGACAAATGTTCTATGTAAATGTCAACTTTCAAATGTACCCTACAGAGGTCAGCTACATCTAACACATCATTATCATCCTTAAGAACATTCATTCCAAATGTGGGATCATTGTAATAGATAATGTCTACCTCAGTGTAACCTAGATCTTTCATAACACCAACCAATTCAAAGTATGACCACCTATTCACATCTATCTCTAAATCATTACATTTAGCCCCCACATAATCGGTTTTTTCAGAGTCCACAGACTCACCACTATGATGAATTTTCAAACACAAAATTTCTTCAATTTCTACCTAAGACAATAAAATGCAACATTACAAACAAGAAAGCGCAACCATTACATACAAGAAAACGTAACATAATAGTAGATTTCAAAAGGGGCAAAAAAACCCTAGATACCTAATCAGATCAAGAAAACACAATATTTACACACATTCAGAGTAGACAAGAATGTGTAAACTAACCATCGTCTATGTTGCATCTTCGTCTTCCTCAGCTTGCTTCTTCTCTCTTCGTGCTCTTCGTCTTCCTCAGTTTGCTTCTTCTCTCTTCGTGCCCTCTTAGAACTTTCTATTTCAACACATGTTTTAATCAATGAAAATGATAATATTATGCTATTTCAGATGACACTTCAGCAATGCCAATACCCATCATGCCACATAACCAAACAATTCATTACACCTCAGCAATAACTTAACACGTCAGCCAAGTTTTTGATAATAATCTAACGTTTCTAACAGACAGAATTAACATGGTAACATTTTAATAACGTAAGGGACCAACTTGGAACTTTAGAAAGGAAGAGGACCAAAATGGACCCCGAGTCATAGGTAGAGGACAAAAAAGGGTATTAAGCCTACAATTTTAAATAAAAAATACCACTACCTCCATTCCTTTATATAAGAGCCAATTTATTATTTTGTTTCATTAAATAATTAATGTATTTGGTCAGTTTATAGATTAAATATATTAATTATTTAACGAATCCAAAAAATGAATTATCTCTTATAAAAAAGAATGAAGATAATATTAAGTTGAAAATGCTTCATTTTAGTATCCGTTTTAGATCACAATATGTGTTGAGTCTGTGCTAAAGTGATTTATAATTTAGAACAAAATTTATTAGCACAGTAAATTATAATTTGAAACACAGAAAATATGATTTAATAAGATTCATTTTTGAATATTTAAAAAATTTAGTTGAGTTTGTTTAAATAATTTGAAAACTAATATAATATAAAAAAAAGAAAAAAAGAAAGACTTAAAATCCAAATGAATATAATGGACGTGGATATTCAAATAACATTCCTCGTTTTCTAATCGACCTCATTTTTTATTTACCGCCGAGTCCCACTCCTAACCTAAGGCATAATCATTGTGCAGATTCCGATCCGAACGAACACACTTTTCTTCTAGCTTTAAGGATGGTGTATCATTCCATTCCATAAATAAACAACTCATTCAAGATTTTGGGTTCATTCTTTCAACACTTTGTTCAGTGTGCCAACAACACAACAATGTCTCTTTTAAGGTCGTTCAGGTACGCTGTTTCTGTTTCTTTTTCAATTCCCAATTCTCATCCTTTTCATTCATCAATTTCAAAACCATACTCTCACTCTCTACAACTATTTACTCATGAATTTGATGCTGTTTCCTTGTTCAATCAAATGCTTCATAAGAAACCTACTCCACCCGTGAATCAATTTGGCAAGATTTTAGGTTCCCTTGTGAAAACCAAACATTACCTCGTTGTTGTTTCCCTTTGTCAACAAATGGAATCAAGTGGAGTTTATCCAGATTTTGTATCTCTCAACATCCTCATCAATTCTTTCTGTCAATTAGGTCATGTAACTTTTGCTTTTTCTGTATTGACAAAAATTCTCAAGAGGGGTTATCAACTAAATACTATAACTTTGACTGTATTACTCAACGGTCTCTGTCTCAAAGGTGAGGTTAATAAAGCATTGGACTTTCATGACAAGGTAGTTGCTCAGGGATTTCGTTTAGACCAAGTTAGTTATGCTACATTGATCAACGGGTTATGTAAAGTTGGAGAAACAAGAGCAGCGCTAAAAGCCCTAAGACAAGTTGACGGGAAACTTGTTCAACCTAATGTGGTAATGTACAATACAATTATTCATAGTTTATGTAAAGATAAAAAGGTTATTGATGCATTTGATTTATACTCTGAAATGGTTGCCAAAAGAATTTCTCCTGATGCTTTCACTTACAATGCTTTAATCTATGGTTTTTGTATTGTTGGTCGATTGAAAGAAGCAATTCATTGGTTAAATCAAATGAATTTGGAAAACATTATCCCAGATGTTTATACCTTTAGTATATTGGTTGATGCTTTTTGTAAAGAAGGTAAAGTGAAAGAAGCTAAAATAGTGTTGGCTTTGATGATGAAAAAAGGTGTTGCACTTAATGTTGTTAGTTATAACACTTTAATGGACGGATATTGTCTTGTAAATGAAGTGAACAAAGCCATGGATATTCTAAACATTATGTCTCGAAAAGGAGTGGTTGCTAATGTTCGGAGCTACAACATCATGGTTAATGGACTTTGTAAGGTTAAAATGGTTGGTGAAGCTATGAAGCTCTTTGAAGAAATGCATTGCAAACAAATTTTTCCTAATACGGTAACTTACAATACCCTTATAGATGGTTTGTGCAAATCTGGGAGAATATCACATGCTTTGAAACTTGTCGGCAAAATGCATGATAGAGGTCAACCGCCTGATATAGTTACTTACAATTCTATATTGGATGGTTTATGCAAAAAGCATCACGTTGACAAGGCAATTGAATTGTTAACGAAATTTAAGGACCAAGGTATTCAACCAGATGTGTGCACATACAATATTCTTATCAATGAATTGTGCAACAGTGGAAGACTAAAGGATGCACAAAATGTTTTTGAAGATCTTTTGATCAAAGGCTACAATCTAGATGTCTATACATATAATGCTATGATCAAGGGATTTTGTATCAAGGGCTTGTTTGACGAAGCGCTGGCCATGATGTCAAAAATGAAGGATAATGGTTGCATTCCAAATGCCCTAACTTATGAAATAATGATTTATTCTTTGTTGGGAAAAGATGAAAATGATATGGCAAAAAAACTTCTTCTTGAAATGATTGGGAGAGGCCTATTGTAAGACTGATACTATGTAAGATGTTTTTCTACTCATACATTATCACTATTTTGAATTTATGTTTCAAATTATCTCATCATTTCATTTATATATGTAGATGCTTCACCTCTTGGGGAAGAGGGTTTTTCTTTTGGCAAGTGTTTTAATACTTCACAAACTGATAGACTGGTGAGTTCTAACTTGAGGGAAATTGGTAGAATATTAAAATTACTGTTGTTTTAGGAGTGTTGTTGGGTTGAGTTTGTACTAATTCTGATAAACTTTTGCCTATTAACTCACGAAATTAGATGCCATATGTTCTTAGTTGTTTGGTAATGAAACGTTCCTCTGGGACTTACCATATCATTAACCATTGTCTTGTTCTTAGTTGATTGGAATTTGTTGATTTCTCGACTCTTTATGTCAAAGACAATGCATGCAAGAAAGGATTAAGGTTTAACTTCTGTATAAAAGTTGCTATAGCATGGAGTATAACGCATCTTTATGGTGTTTGAATCCAAAGGCTTGCGATTAGGTTGCTGTTTCTGTGAGTGTGTTGCAGGAGGTTTTAATGTGATGGAGCTGCTATTTTCGATTGTATTGGTGGACTGTGAGTTTGTCTTGCAGCAGGTTTCTTGTGTTTGGTTCTGTCTTTATTCCGAATATCAGGTGTCCGATGGTTTTGCTGTCTTGTTGTTTTAATGTGATAGAACAACCTTAAAATCTACTCATATTTCTAGTTTATTAAAATCAAAATCATCTTTAATGCATCACATTTTTTTTAAACTCAACATAATAATCAGAATAAATAGAGGAATACTTTATAAGTGATTGCCTTGGAGAACTGCTTTGTTTATATCAATTTTCCTCTCTTCTATCTTGTGTGCACAAAATATTAAATTTCCCTTAATTTTTGCCTCATTTATACAACAGATTTTGTCTCATGTGCATGATTGCAAACATTTAGAGACAAATATTATACAATCGACAGTGACGAGCATTGTGTGCAATTTATAGTATGAGCTTTGAATATACTGTCATCAATTGATGCCGGCCACAAATAAGTCTATAAATGCACGCAGGTACATCTACGCATAAATCAATTGCAATTTGCAAGCTATAAAAACTTATTCACAACAATGACAAGGTTTATTACCCTATGCATGTTGTTCTTTTTCTGTGTTATAATTTTGGCTTCTGCACAAAGTGCCACTGTGACGTCCACATATAATTTATACCAACCAGAACAGCATAACTGGGATTTACTTGCAGTAAGTGCATTTTGTGCCACTTGGGATGCAGACCAGCCTTTATCATGGCGTAGCAAATACGGTTGGACTGCTTTCTGTGGACTTGTTGGGCCTCAAGGCCCCGATTCTTGCGGTCGTTGCTTGAAGGTATGATGATGTATCTTGTGTTTTTCTTTCATTTTTTTTTTGTGTTATTTTTTTTTATGGAGAAATTAAAAGCATTTGGTTTAATGTTTGTTTTGGGTTTAGGTGAGAAACACTAAAACTGGAGATGAGGAAATAGTAAGAATTATTGACCAGTGCCATAATGAGGGCTTAGATTTGGACATCAGTGTGTTCCATAGGCTTGACTCGGATGGAAGTGGAGATGCTCAGGGTCATCTTATTATCAACTATGATTTTGTGGATTGTGGTGACTAAATAGACAGTGCTCTATTTTATGGGGATAAAGTTGTGTTAGTAATGAAAGTCAAGAAAATAAAATGTTCTTACTATTCTTTACTGCCTCCATTCTTTGTTACCATACATGATTTGTTTTTCTGAGACTATAATCTGAAAAATGTCAATGTAGTTGTTTTGTCCAATCAAACTGTTGCCATTGTTTGGAAAAATTAACATGTTGCTTTTGTACCTCCATTGATGAGTACCTTTGACGTCTGTACTCATCCAAATGCAGTATCCCCCTAAGGACGATCAATCTGAGGTTATTGTTAAACTGCTTCTCATCTTCAATAACATGGACAAAACCTCTATTTATCCCAAATTTGACATGAAAATATGGGAAGTCCATGGGAATTGAGTTGCGCAAACCCTTTTCACTTGTATCAATAAGTTTTTTTGGCGTTGTGTTGGCTCCACTTATCTTCTGCTTCATCAATTGCCTGTAATTTATTTAAGTCATTTTACAAATTGATGGTAAGTTTATGGTTTGAATTGAAGCAATGGAAAAACAAAAACAGAAATGGAATATTAATGGATAGAAAATATAAGTGACCTTCTTAAAATATAGAGGAGCCTGTTTAGCAATATGTCTCCCATGACAGTTTCAAGAAACACCATTTCCTTATCTTGTTTTGCAAACATCATCATTAGGCATTTCTTGAAGTTTCGGATTTCTACCCGTTCTTATAGCTGATTCATGCTGTCATGTATAAGACAAACTTGCAAATTATTAGTCTATGAATTACAAAGTGAATTCAATGGATAGTAATAAGTTTCTGATATTTATTTATATAGGTTATTTAGGAGTGACAAATAGGCATGTCCGTCTCGTTTAGGCATGTTTTACAAAAGTTCGTAAGAAAATTGGATGGAGGCAAACATAGTTGAGCATGGGGTCTAAAATCTAGATCTGTCTCGCAAAAAAGTGAGTGCGGGACAGAGAAAGCCCGCGAACATTGCATCTTTTAAGCTTAAAAATACAAAATTTTAAGTTAATGCTCGTAACTGCGAAAGCTCGCGAAGAAAACGGGACAGGACAGGGCAGACACTTTTGAGAACGAGTGCCTAAATTCTTAGCTCGTAACTGCCTAAAGAGTGTCTCTCGAATATTTATTAGCATTTTCCATTAAAAAATTACAATAAAAATAAGTTAAACCAACCCAAACCAAAAATTAAAATAATAGAATATTATATTTAAAAAAATTTTAATAGTTAAAATTACCTAATTTAAATATGATAGAATTATAAAAAATATGACATTTATTTTGAGACAGAGAGAGTATTTAATTGAACAATTGTAAAATAATTTCAGTTGAACGACAACAAATAAGTCATAATTGGATAATAAAAAATAATATTGATTGATCGACAATCAATATTGAGTTGGATGACATGACTATATTTAAAAGAGACAATGTCATGATAATGAAGCATGGTTGAAAGAGAAAAAAATGTAATAAAGTAGTAGAACTTAAAAGTTTGTATTGATGCAGAAAAAAAAAAGGAATTCTTTTTTTGTGAATGTTTAATATTTCAAATTTTGATATTGACATATTAAATTTTTCAACAAAATTTTTAAAAATATGGTCAATTTGATGCAATTTTTTTTGAATCAGACGGTTTTATAAATTAGTGGGTAGCCCAAAGATGCTTCTCCAAACGCTTTTGTTTTATATCCTCACGTCAGACCTTCTCTTTTCATCCTTCTTCATTTTCTTAAAAAAACTTGTCAATCTCTTCTAGCTTTTGAGCTCTCACATCCATTCAAGTTTATCTACCTAACAAACTTCTACCATTGGAGCTCTTTCTCCTCCTTTCCAGCATTTCATACATTCAAGTTTCTACTTCTCATCAGTTTGATTTGGTAAGTTTTTCAAAATTCTATCTCTTTTTATATTTTGATTTATAGTTATTTTTTTAAGCTGCATCAGTTGTTTTCGGTACATTAAATAGTAGTGTAAGTGAATTGATAGCCTACAAGAACATGCATTGACATGATTTTTGAGGGTTAAGGCAACAATGTCGTTTTTGCCATGATTGAGAATCACAAGTTTATCCGGAGATGCATCTTTGGATTTTATCAATGCTATTTTCGCAGATGCATCTTCAGATTTAACTCAGGCTAAACTTTGATTGACTTTGTGGAATTTCTAAATTTATCCTGACATGGTGTTTTTACTTGTGTCTGTTTGTAATGCAGATCTAATGGCTGAAAAACAACCCTGTCAGAACTAGGCTTGTCCGTGTGTTCCAAACGGCGTCGGTACGACATGAGAGGGTTGCAACCAGTATCATAAGGAAACGGGCCGATGATAACTTGTTTAATAGTTCGTAGTGCCGAGGTTTCCAACCATATGGTTTCGCTTCTCGTAGTCGTCTCTCTTAAGCATTTACTTCACGGGGCCATGAGTCCCCAAACGATGCAACAAAACCTAAAGTCCCTAAAGCTCCTAAAGTCCAAGAGGAAGTCGATGCCTACCTCTAGAGAGTTATCAAGGAGGCTCATTGGACACCTCATTACTTCATCTCTATGCAAACGATGCTGCTAGGCATGTATGGGAAAAAGAGATATATTTATTTTCTTTTGCAGTACATATGTTTTCAACTAATTAAATCAATACTGATGGTGGTATTTTTTTTAGAGAAGTGTACATGTTTGAAATAGGTAAACCACATTAGAAAGATATTTAAGTTAGGCCAACCCACTGTTGATTGGTTTCAGAATGTTATCCACTATTCTGGTCTTGCCAGTTTATGTTATGTTGCGTACATGACCATAAACCATGGCATGCAAGCAGCTTTTGCAGGGAGGTAGCATTTAGAGACATCATATTTCCACCTTCCTATAGAAGAGATAACCATCACTTTGGATGAAGTCTCATGCCTCCTACATCTTCCCATAAAGACGAAAATTACTAGGCCATTGAAGGATCGGTCGAGAGGAAGCCGTCGAGATGATGGTTACTCATTTGAGGACTGGCCCAGCTAAGGCCTCAAAGGAGGCAGTTGACACAAGAAGTTCTCATGCAATATTTTGTTTGTTGGAAAAGCTCTATAAAGACCATCTACAGTGGGTTGTGGATGTCGAAGGTGATGATCTACAGGTTGACTACCATCAGTCTTGCACATTGATGTGTTACCTTTTGTTCTTGGTTGGCACCTCCATGTTTATGGGCAAAAGTTCAATCTACGTCAATGTGGTCTACCTTAAGTACTTCATTGACTTGGTTGCGATCGCATCTCTAAAAATACGATTCTTCACGAAGCGTATTACGTGCTCGTGGAAAAATAATTCGAACAGAGTTTCCACCAAACTTTATTTATTTCAATGAAGGAAAGAGAAAATATCGATAAAACCCTTAAAAGAAAAAGAATATGGTCGTCGCAATCAAATTTGAGTTCGGAAGTCGATTACGTAAGAGGAAAGTATTGGCACCACTCACGTCCATTGTACTCAACAGGAATCTTTTAGTTAAATTTGCGATTGAATGTTAGCTTATGTTATTTGTTTTCTTCTACTTGTTGAACGGGGGAAATAAAGAAAATATTTTTAGGATTTTTTATGAATGTGCCTAACAAGATTTCAAAATCCTGCTCATATGTATCTCCATGTGCGATGAAGAACTCAAGGCTACATAGTTCTTTCTATCAAAGAACTATTTGTTGGTTGCTTTTAATGAGTGATCCTTTCAACATATCGAGTGGTTAAAACCTTTGCTTGTAGCTCGCTCTTGGTGACTGAAGCATTTGTTTGTTTCATGTCAATATGGATAAAGCATACTCGTTACTGAAAAGGTTTTTGAGTTGTACAAGGGCAAAAATGCAAGTTTGATTGATTGAATTGCTTTTACATGGACTAGGTAATCGTTGGAGCAAGGTGTGCACCGAGCATTTGTTTACCCAAGGCTTCTAGAGAAATGTGCATTTCTCAGTCCTTTGTCATTCACTTTTATGAAGATTTGGTCTTTGTGGAATATGATTAAACATTTATGCATAAGTGTGAACCAATCACATGTTTACTCGTGATTCGCATGGATGTTCTTCCATTGGCCTTTTATTGCAAGTTTAGTCAACACGTTTTTGATTTGAAAGGCTAATAGTCGTTTGGAATGCGGTGTACTCCGAACACTCGACTATTAAGGGGTCTAAAGAGACGTGCATCTCTCAGTCATCCGTCTTTCAATTTTATTATGAAAAAGAATTTGCGCATCAACGACTTGACGTTGGACCAAGCGTTTCAAATTGATTGTGAAAAGAGTTTGATGTTAAGCAGAAGAGATACTTGAAATATGATCAAGCATTCACGTTATGGAACACGATTTGATTTATGAAAATTACTCGACGTTGAATCAATATCGTTTTTGTTCCTTTTTTGAAGATGGTTGATTTTACGTTAATATTGAATTAACAATTAACTAATGCAATAAGAACAAAATAAAGGAAAGCGGTAAAGTTATTACACGTCATGAAAATGGGCGTATATTTTGTCGAATGGGGATATAATAAAGAAATTAAAATGCAAGACCATTAAACAAGTGAATTATCATTTGATCAATTAATTAAAAATTGATTAAATCAATTAATCAAGCTAATAAAAATTAATTAGTAAAGCTAATCAATCTTAATTAACATAATCAACTAACTAAAACAAGATTTACTTAATCGGTTAAATGTAAACAACAAGGAGCTCATTGTAAGAAGGCCCAAGAGAAAGTCAAGAGACCGAAAATAAATTGAAATCTAGAGTACTACGTTTAGGTCTAAACTAACTTAAAATGGATTCATATATGAATTACTCTATAAGAAACCGATCAACAATGATACTGCAATGAGAAATCCAACAATGCGATAAACTATATACAACGGAAAAATAAATCAAAATTTAAAGTATTGAATTTAAGTCTAAGCTAACTTTAGACGGATTCATGTAGAAATCACTCTATAAAAAGCCGAACAGACGAATCTATGCATCCAAATAA